GCTGTCAGTGTCCTTCCTGCGCTGCACGCAGGTTCCATATCTGCCTCCAGCACTGATCCAGAGGGAGGTTGGAAAGCTGAGCCCCTAGTGCTCTCTGTATTATGGGTAAGGATTTTTAACCTCTTATATGTGGCCAAAGCCAAACTCCCCAGTGCAAAGTGTTTGGCAGTCCCTCCTGCTGTGGGGATAAACCAGAGGGCAGGTTGATGGAACAAGGTAAAATCAATCTAGTTAAACAGAAGAGGTTTCCCCTGGTAGAGGTTATGCATCGTTTCCTTCCTTTTTTCCTTTTTGTTTTGGATTTTGTTCATGTGGTGGTGTTTCTTTTTCTAAAATGTTTTGATTCAATTGAGTTTTTCAAATGCATTTATATCAGTTGTCACAAGGTTATAGGGCAACCCAAAGTGAGAGGAGGGGAAGGCACAGCTAGGCTTTATAAATCCAACAGACTCAATTCTGACACCAGGAACATCAAACACTGAGGTTCTGTAATCAGAAACACACACATACAAACAGATTAATCTCAACTGTAGCTCCTCAAACATTGCCTCTTCCCCCCATTGTGTTTTTACCCAACAAGGACTATCCATTACTACCATTACAAGAGGTCCTTCGTTCTCAGCTCCTACTCATTTCCAGGGATAGGGAGAGGAAATAGTGCTGAGCTGTGTGTATACAAAGGGCTCATCTGGATGCTGAGTGCACTACACGGCCCTGTTTTCTCCTCCAGCACATCTGCAGTTTGCATGCTTATGATCCCTCCTCCTCTGATTTGGATGGACAAAGGCAATGCTATTTTTGTTTTGTTTCTGTCTAGGACAATGATTAGAATTTGATAAAACACCTTTACAAAAGATAAAAAATCCAAATGGACATTCCCTAAAAAAAAGGAGGAGGGGAGGAACATGCTGCTCTTAATTTGACAAATCTTTTTTGATTTGGGGTGGCTTTTTGTTTCATTCCCCTCCTTGCTAATGAAATTCCTAAAGATGAGATGGGCTGTTGTTGCCATAGAAACTTAGCGCTGGCAGAAACTAAGACTGCAGATTTATTCATGCGTCCTGTTAGTCAAACTTGATGCAATAACAGAGAATTAATATTTTGGTCTCATTGAGATCTTGTCATTTTTGCCTTTCTGCAGAACCTGTGAGCAGAAGGAAATGCTGAACTCTGCACTGCTGGGCTAAATTCCTCAGTCATCCTCAGGCACTGCACTATGGGCAGCTTTGCTTTATGCACAGGGAGAGCCGAAGTCCCTTGCTGCTCGCTGCAGTGGGATTCTCTTGCTGCTGGCCATGGCAGACACAGGCCTGAGCAGTGACTGCAGGAAATCTGTCCCCTTTTTCTTTTCAAAGCCTCTAGGATGAGTTTGGCAGACAAATGACTCTGCTACTCACAAGCATTTTAACCCTCTGGTAACATAAAATATATTTTATGTTCTCAGTAACGCGCATTTTGCAGCTACTGATGAATGCATCTTTGTCCTGTTGGATGAATTAGCATTTATCCCATCCCTGTCTGACAAAAGAGAAACTGAAGCGAGGAGGACAGGTGAATATGCTATACGTAGAGCTACTCCAAGTCCATCCCAGCAGAGCAGAATTTGGGTATGAAGTCTGTTCTTGCAGCTTAGACTGTTAGGGACATGGTTTAGTGGACATGGTGGTGATGGGTCAACGGTTGGACTGGATGATCTTAGAGGTCTTTTCCAACCTTAATGATTCTATGATTAGACTGCTAATGATTGTTGGACACAGACTCACAAACCAAATTTTTTTTTTCTGCCTCTCAGGCACAAATGAACCAATCGGCATAAATCCGCAACATGAGCTGCTCCACTGTGTGTCAGAAGTTCTGCAGCACTACCAGACCCTACAGGGACTTGTTTGGCCAAATAATGAAGGAGTCAACCCTTTGGTTGCTCTACCTGGATACAAGCTTACTGTGGGTATCTCAGTTCAGGGCATACTGGAGAAAACTGAAAGTGTTAAGGACCACACCAAGGACGTGGATAAGAGGCATTCCCCAGTGCTCCCCAGATACACCTGTCTATGCACGTGTGTGATTAGACAGACACCACATTGTTGTACCTGCACAGATTATGTTGCCCTTTTGCAGACAAATCACAAATAAATTCTATCTAATGGATTGCTAGTACAAGGATGAAAAAGGAGCTCCAAAGGAACTAATGAAGTGGCTTAGAGTCCTAACAGGTGGAAAAAGTGGAGAATATTAATACTCAGTTGAGATTTTAATTGTGGAGGCTAACTAACAATAATAGAACCTATATTTTAATAAAAAACACAGATTTCTGTCACAGGATTAGCAATTCGAACCCCCTACCAGACTCCCTTATTATCATCCTTCTCCAGAAAACTAGTTTAGTTTTCTCTCTGAGATGATTGGATGCTTTGATTTAAATGGGCAGAATGAACCTGAAGATTATTTGTTCTTAAGGAAAACTCGGAGACTTCAAGGCATGTCAGTGCCATTCTGAGAGGGGCTCAGAAGCATCCATCCTCACTGAATTTGCGAAGCATGGTTGGCACGTGGGGAACTGTTCAAAAAATACTTCTGTACCAAAGAGCTACACCTACTTCATAGCAATTGATAGAAGATAATGAATTTGAAACTGAAGTCAATAAGCCTATAGAAAATAAGTCTTTTACAAACAAGTACTTGAATACCAGGCATAAACTTTTAGGATCGGGCCCTCCCATGACTCTGAATACTTTAGGATTAGACATGTTGGGTAAGATCTCGTGCTTCATTTCCCTGGATTTCCTAGAGGTGTAAATTAGTGCAGCCTCTGCCTTATAATCATTAGTGAAATAAATTAGAATGCTTGAAGGAGCAGCCTGATTGGGAAGTGAAGTGATCACTAGCAACTATTGTCAGTGTTGTGTGCTTTGTTCCACTTACAAGGCTAATTACTGTAACAAAGTAGATCATTTTAAATGGAAACTCTGGATAACTCTCAATGCAAATGTTCGTGATTTTTTCCTGGATGCATCACAACCACATAGAGGAAACAAGAGACAATGGAAATAATCAAAACACCACTAGATTGAACAACTATTCAATAGACTTTTGTTAGAGCTCAGCACAAATGTACGTTTGTCCTCATTCTTTATGAGTTCTTTGTCTGAGGTACTCTATCAAATCTTACCATCTTTGCATCTCCTTGCAAAACAGCACTGTCCACCCTATTATGCTTTCTGACCTTGGCCCAAAGAATCCAGTCCACCTCGCAGGGGAACCACTGGCTGAACTCCTGCTAATCTCAGTGTCGTGGGACCGAGCAGAAATTCTTCAATCAGTCACGTTCTTAACTTGCAACACATGTCCACTCTTATTCAGCCGTGCTCTTCAGCTCTGAAGTTGCACTTCAGGAAAAGCTGTGAGTTAATCGCCTGTTCAAGTGTTTGGCGCATTTAGCCTGAAGCCCATATTGCCTGGAATAACCACCTGACAGTTGGGTAACGTCCTTCTCCTGTTTGCATCAACTGAGCTGGTTGCTCAGCAATGTGACAGCTGGGCATGTGGCAGGAAGAAGCTGCAGGACTGAGCCAAGTGCTGCCTTGTTTGCTTGATTCATAGATGGTTTCTGAGACAGGAAGGAATTTTAATAAGGAAGATTAAAGAGAAGTGCAGTTTTCCAGGGAGCATATGTTAATCTTCTTGAATGGTCTTCAGTATACTGTGGTCTGCGCCCACCAACTGACAAAACACAAGGCCATTTTTAATAGTGTCTGTACTTACAGAAAACTTTTTTATTTGAATATATGCCTCCTAGCCTTCTCATTCTTTTCCAGGGGCAAAATTAGAGAGAAAAAAAAAAAAAAGATAATTCCTTTAGACAATGCGTGAGAAAGCTTTTGAAGTCATTCCCTTCCAAGGCAAAATCACATTCTGACATTCTCCTCTTCCTTTGTATTTACTCCTGATTTGAGATGTAATGTTTACCCCTGGGAAAAGCACCTTGGAATAACTGCAGAAGTATTACTCCACATAAGAAATCTTGGCGAGTTTGGACTGACAGCTGTTTGTGCTCTGAGTGAATACACACGCCTGGGGAGAGCGCTGAGCTGTAACGAGCACAGCAAAGCAACAGCTTAGGACCAATTCTCTTTTAAGTGGGGTTGAAAGCACACAGCCCAAGCATGCATCCACATTCCCACAGTTATTTTCTCTGGATTTTAAAGTCACACCGCAGGTTTCTTTTTATAACCCTTCTGAATTGGTAGTTTTATTTATTTATTTTGAGAACCAAAGGGTAGCCAAGAGGTGTACAATTAGCCTCACCACTGCCTGACCCTGACAAAAGACTGTGCAACAAATACACCTTCTGCCATCACTGCTGGAGCTGGGAAACTGGCATCCAGCATTCCTGATCTGAAACAGAAGCACAGTAAAAATACAAATACATCCATATTTCTTGTAAGGGGTAGAACAAGGCATCCCAACCCTACTGTTTTAGATGGTCCATTACTGCTTTTAAAATAATCTGCACGTCCACAGAGTTCACTCCACCCTCAGTACATCAGATGTGCTGAAAATGCTCAGATCAATTGTGCCTGCACAGCAAGTCTGTGTGAAACCCATTGGTCTTATCTTCTTTTAGGATGTGCCAGTTTGCTTTGTCCATGTGAAATTGGGAAAGACTGAAAGAATTGTTGGCGTGGACTCTTTCATCCCAGGCAGTTCTGTATAAAGGGGAAAAAACAGGAGGAGAACACATTCAACTTCATCTTAAACATACCAAGTCAAACACTTATCAGACCACCAATGTAGTTGTGTCAATGGTATTCTACTGGCGTAGCAGAAATGCCAAGTCACAGCCTGAAGCAGAGATTGAGCACCTGCTGGGAAGGCAGGGCCAACCCAGTGGAGCTCAGGTGCATGTAATGCAGCTGAGTGACCAGAAGGGGTGGAGCCAGGATCCACCCTTTCCTAGACGTCATTTAAGGTTGGCAGGGGGGAGGTGAGGGTATCTTTTGCTGGAGATCCCTGCCTACCTGAGGCCTTCCAAAGGTACGTTGTTATTTTTTTCCTTTATTGTTTGTGGTTGCTGCATCTGGGCTTATTTTCATCTGCTGTAGCCAGAGGTTTTGCCACTCTGCTATTATTGAGGTACTTTTCATCCCATTTTAGTATTACAGCTGGTCAGTATCTTACGTCAAACTAAAATGAGAAGAAATTGTTGTGTTCACTGTCATAAAGCACTGTAAAACTGGTGCAAGTGGGATGAGAATCAGCCTGGCCATCTTAGCAAGAAAGGAAACAAATGCTTGTAATAAAGCACAACTTCATCAACTGCTGTGACTCTCAGTGATGGTACAAAAGGATTGCAAGTCATGCACCACAGGCAGAAGAGCATAGCAAACAAATCAAGGGCAATCACTAAAATGCGAGATTGTTTCTGTACAGCTCTTTGACATCTTTGTAAATCAGCTGACTTGCATAGAGTTACCTATGGCTACTAAATATGGAAGGAGAAAACATTGATTTGAGAACCAGGAAATAAAAAGTATTAGGATAAAGAATGAAGTAGATTAATCCAGGAGAAGTCAATTTCCCTGTTTCCTAGACTGGCTCAGTTTGACATCAGTTCCAGTTGTCTCCATTATATACAAGCACACTCAACAACAACATGTTCTGTCACCAGGGGGAACAAATTCCTGATTCTTCCAAATGAGTTCTAAGGAAGCAGGGGATAAAGAAAGGTAGGGAGTGCCAATCAACAAGATTAATATGCTTTTGTTCTAAGCCAAGTAGCTGCTATTCTTAGTAAAATACTAGTCCACTGCCTCTGAGAAAAAGGTAAACAGTTTGTCCTGGTTTAAATTGTTACAATTTTTTGGCACACTGCGTGACAGCAAAATGTTGTTTGTTGTTGTTCTGTTTGTTTATTTGTGGGAACACCCTGAGCTGAGTTCCTGTTCTGCTGGGCTCTGTCTGATTCAAGCAAAAGAGACAAGCTTTAGCCCAAATCAATCAATAAATGGAGGTGGAATCTTCTGACACATGAACTGATTTCTATCTCAGAAGGTTTTATGAGTATTTTGACCTGTTGTCTTCCACTGCAATCAATTATATAGTTTTGGTGTTCCTAAAAGTTTCACTAGCAAAGCAGAAGGAGCACTTTGAGTTTTGAAGTGAGTGCAGCACTAAGTTGAGAAAACTGCATGGCTGCATGCCTGTGGCAGTTTTGGTGCCAGAAGTACATTCTTGATGAACGTTGTTAAGAAATTCTGCAACCTATCCAAGCAAATATATTCACAAAGAAAGTATTTGGCTTTGTGTGGGGAAAGAGGGATAATTAAGCCCATGTATGTTCTTGGATACCCCTGCAGTGTTCAGCAGCAGCTGTTTAGGCATCTTCCAATTGACAACACCACTTGACTACCGTCCTATCACAACAAAGACTCCCCTCACGAAAGCCTCAGCCCAGTGGAGGTTACAGCCAGCGTTGAAATGCACTTAAATTGATTGAACAGCTTGGGCCAGATTTTTGGTTGAGTGTCTCTATTTACAGTGAGTTCAGCAATCAGGCTTTTGACTCTTCTTGTCAGAGCAGTCCACTTGCATGTCTATGCGTAGGGTATCACAGCAAGGGGTGCAATACCTGTGTCATTTTTACTCTGCTTCTTGTTTGGTCCTTTGCTTCATCATTTTCAGTTTGATACACTGATCCTGAAAATGATAATTTCCCACATACCTTCTCCTTCTTAAGAATTGCTGCGTATGTACAAGGCAGCTTCAGTACCTGAACTGAACTGAACTGAATGCGTAACTAGCATGTGTATCTTGATGCTTGCTTAAAGAGAGCAGGAGTTCATATGATTTGCTGCTATTCTTTGGCTGTATCTTCTACAGACCTTTAGATTTCAAAGGAGGAAAGTCTGAAGGCTAAAATAGCATAGTGTAGCTTCTGCAAGCAAACTCCTGGACCCAAGCAGTGTGCTGGGAAGTCAACTGCAGAATACAGATAGAACCTTTCATTGCCAGTTCCATGATCGCTGTGGTGGGCAAGTGTTAAAGTCACCATGACCTCCAGCAGATCTATCTGGGTTAAGTGTCCAGAGCATTGCTGAATGTAATTAGCTTATGCATTTTTAGTGCTGGTCCAAACAGTATTAGCTGCTGCCTTGGTAGCACAGGGAAGCTTGTATTGTTACAGACTGCTCTACCACGACATGTGAGGGTAATTGGTATGTGGAGGTGAAAAGGTCACAGATATTTCCTATGCTCCACCAAGGAGACACGAAAAATGTATGATAATTAACTGAGAAAAGTGGGGTGGGTGAACATTATCAGGCTGAGGATGGAAATGGGTGGTCAGGTGAGCCCCCAGGTGGGGATCTGCATTTTCTTGCTTGAACTTTAGACTTCACATCCTTTTTAGTCAACGTGTAAAGGACAGGGGCTCAGCTATTTCAGACAGCTAATTGTTCTGGAAGGCGCTTCTCCAATCATTTGACAAAATGCCTGTGATGCATGTTAAGGATAATTATCGCTTGTTCTGCTGTCCTTAAATATCCCTTACAAATGTCAGCCCTGTCAGATGAAGAAGAAGCATTGAGAATCCCTGTTTCAGAGTGCACGGGGAAAGCAGCAACCATTTCCATGCCTGTTAAAACAGCACATATTAATGCATTTCGTTTGTGCTGAGGTATTTTTAGGTTTTAGAATTATGTAAATTGTTCTCCAAATTACGCGCAGGCCTGAGATAGCAGCTAGTAGCAGTCGCAGCTGTCAGAGTCATATGGTGTTGAGCACCCAGCAAGTTGCAGGAGAGAATGCGGAAATGGTTCTGGGCACCACTACAGCCTCAAATATCTGCTAATGGATGGGCAGATAGCACTGATGTAAGAAGGGAGACAGAATGGAAGATGGGCCTCTCCACTAGCACCAGGAGGTATTGGATGTCATTACCACTGCAAACTAGAATAGACAGTTTTATTATCAAGGTCAACAGTGCCATTAAAATACTTCCAGGCATCAATCCTCTACTTGTAATGGAAAGTAACACAAAATAAATTAGCTGCCCACTTAACCAGCTGATAGAGATGGGACAGACTGGACAGAATGGCAGGCTTGTTTCTTTTGTTTTTATAGGAGGTAAATGTTTGGAGTGGATAAATCTGTCCGCCCAGCAGAGAGTATCCCAGGACTCCAAGTGCTACTTTTCACAGAATTGTCTTGAGAAATCCATATGAAATGGAATTGTTATGGAATGACCAGGGACTGTTCGCCTGAAGAAAGAGGCTTTCTAGACTCTGCTTCCTCCAGTGCTGAGATCCTGGTACATGGAGTGTCTGGGACCAGGATTCTGCCTCACTCCATTACTTGGAGGTAAAAACTGAAGACCCATTGCCTCAGCTCTCACTGCTGACTTGTGCAAATTCACCCAGTAAGTCTGGAACTGAAATGAGCTGAGAACCCTGGTTTCCCAAGTGCCATCCTGGTGCTTAAGAGCTGATGATGAAGGGGGAAGTCGCTTGCAATTAGCCACACTTCCCTGGCTTACAAAAATAGAGTTGCTATTTCACACTGCTGGTAATTGCTCTATTTTCTGCCTACAAAACTTTTGCTTCTATATGGCTGACCTCAGCTGAAGAAAACCGCATTGAAAGAAAGAACAGATGCAAGACTCTGCTTGAAGATTAGTGTCAGAGGTGGTTTCTGGTTGAGGTTTAATTCCACAGAGCTCAGATTTCCATTTACTCATATACTCAGGCTAAAAAGTGGGTTTCTTTTATTATTAAAGCAGTTTGGCTGTGTGGAAGGTTCATGTGAATGTTTTCACTTTGAGAGTATCAGTGACAGAGCCTGACTTCTGTAATCCTGTGGCATGCTCTTCTCTTTTACCATTGCTCTTCTCCTTGAATATCAGCCTAACAGCCTCTAGACTTTGCAGGACCTGCATGCTGAAGGACCACACTGAGTAGCAGTAAGGTCTGGGTAGGGCTGTGACACAGAATGGGGAAGCAGGAGCATTGAAGATCAGGAGAAGCAGGATGAAAGCACAGGAGTGACACTCACCAGCTCAGCAGGGTTGACAACTGGAGGCTGAAGAGCTCTGGGGAGGAATGTGCATCTCTTACTCATGGCTTTACCTGGTCACAGTCAAATGTACAGGGCTTATTCATGTCACTAACCCACTTCTTAGTCATGAGCAGTGAGAAATCAGTTAGCATTTTTTCATCTCCTTTACAAAAAGAAAAATCCAGCAGCCAAAGACAGTAGAGGAGAAACAGATGTAAATCAACATGAAATATTTTAAGACTGCAGAGAGTACTACAGGTAAATATGGGCTAGATGGTCAGCAGCAGTAGGTGTGAGGAATGAATGGGATAGAAATACAACGGTTGAGCAGGGACAGACAGGTTGTCACAATAACTCTTCTGAATTGTTTACTAAATTTTGTTTACAGTATAAACATTTTGCTCAAGGGCTGCTAAAAAGATTTAAGAACCGAGTAAAAATGTTCTCTGCTCTATAAACTGCTACTGCTTTGCCTTTCCTGTCTGGGTAGCAGAATAAATGAGAGCTACAAAAATACCATTGCAACTAACACTGCACATCATTTTTCAGTTGGTGAAGTGACCAAACAATATGTTCTCTGCTTTGCAGAGGAAAGAAATTAAAGGGGAGACAAAACTCTTTGGAGGGTCCTTTAGGAGCATTGTGTCAAAGGGTGGCACTTGGGGTCCCCTTGCATAGCACTGTAGTTTAGTTGTTTGAAGATGCTGAAGTGCATAATGTGGCTGCAAAGCTCATTAGAGAAATTAATTCACTCTATTCGTTTTTCATTTTTCCACTCCTGACATGCAGCCTTTTACATCTGGAGTTACTTGAAGATAAAGTCATTTTCAAAATATTTTTTCTGGTTGCTTTTAGTAGATTATAAACTGGATGTTCATGGAAACTGCAAAAGCTTTTTTCCACGTGGGGTCTCCCGCATGACACTCTTCATACTGAACAGACAGGTAGTGCTATTTCAAAAGAATGAGGGCCACAGAGGAAGAGCAGAAGACTTTTTAAATTCAATTCACAGATATGATAACCAGCAGGTGATCCAACATTGTTAGGTGGACACAAGTTTGGAGCCCTGGCTGCTCATATTTAAGGTTTTGGTACTCACCTGCAAGACAAAGTCATTAATGCTATGCTGACATGAAAGATGTGAAATCTAGCTGGAAGGAAGTTACCTGAAAGCCATAGATGGGTTTGGGGTCTCTTACCACCTGTGAGCTGGCTAAGCCATATGGCTGTTATGCTTTGTGGGGCTTAAAAGGATTCACCTGGTCAGTGTGTGCAACAAATAACAATTTCCCTTGTGAAGGGTTGGGGATAACTAGAAAGTTTGGTAATTAGTGTGGAAGATACAAGAAAGAATGGAGATTAATAAAACGTTCCCTGCTATGCTAAACAGAAACCAAATTGCAGTTATTCAGAAGGCTGCTTGCCTCGAAGTGTGTCTTCCTTTGTTTGCAATCTAACATTTGGGTCGAATGTTTCACTGCTGGGAGTAACTTTGTCAATTGGAAGCTCAGATTCATCCAATCAAGCCTGCAATAAAGGCAAGCACTGAGGGCTCCTGTGCAGTGCTACAAGGACATGTTGCTTCAGGATAGCATCTTCAAAACTGCTAATTGATGGAGATCTCACCCTGTGAAATTCAGTGCAGCATTTCCTCTGAAGTCATTAAAGTGTTCTTATGCAAGACACTCCTCCTGCAATTAATTAGCTGTTTGTGTGGGCATTTATTTATCTGAAGACATAAAATTAGACCCTCAGTTGACGTAAATGATTCCAGCTCACTTTTGTTCTTCTTGGAAGATCAAGCCCAGAAGCGGAGCAGAAAGATAAGCTTCCCAATTCACGGGTGGTTCCCAGCCATTTGCTGTCATACTTCTGCTTCAGTTTTCTCATCTAATTGTGTTTTTCAGGCTCTTGTGTTTTAGGGATATTTCTTTTTTCCTTCTAACAACCCAAATTACTCCAGGAAGAGTCAGTTGTCATGACTCCCTGCTTTAAAGGCTGCTGCCGCCACCATTTCCAGACAATAACAGGAACAGAGGACCAAAGCAGACAGGAAAAAAAAAAAAGCACCCTAATTATAGCTCAGACTCCCTTTCTCTTTCTAAAGTGGGAAAGAATGTGAATTATCATTCCTGGACTCAAAATCAAATAGAATTACTTATCTCTTGAAATCCCTGCTGATCTGGCCACTGCACAGTCAAGCAGCGTGCTGCCTCATTATTCCAATGACATACTGCTGCAGGAGGAGAAACTCCCAGCAAAAACACAGGAGCTCATCATATTCTTCTGTTCTCCTTACCAGGTAGATTTCCATATTTCTCTTTCAAAATAGAGCCCCTGGAACTAAACCAAGTCTGACCTAGGGAAAAATACATGCAAATAACCCCTGGAATAGCAGACAGTGGAGAAGCCATAGCATGCTTGTTCTTGGAGACAACCAAGATCAGGCTGAAACAGGCTCCAAGCGACCTGGCTGAGCTATGGGGGGTCCCTATTCATTGCAGGGGAGTTGGAGCAGGTGACCTTTAAGTATCCCTTCCAGCTCAAATGGTTCTGTGGTGGTATTGCAGCAGGGAGAGCCCTCATCAGGATTATTAGGCTGTTCTCTGGAGAGATCTGGAGCCTTTCAGTTCTCTTCTGTCTTACAATACCTCTCTCTCTAATTTTGATGCAATTTCTGTTGCTGTGTGGAAAAGGTCAGTACTGCATGTTCATATAATGGAATAATGCTAAGTCTTCCACTGCATTACCAGGATGCTCACTTTGTAAAGGTATTTGGTAGCCAACAAAATAGAGAAGTTCCTATTGAAATATGCAAAGCTACCACATGATTCTTATTTCCCTTTAAGCCCACAGAGATTATAAGCAACTGAAAGGACGTGTTGGCCTAGAAAAAGGCAGTGAACTGTGATACAATATGCTCATGAGGGGTCTGGAGGAGATGGGCAAGGGAATACACATTAACCAAATCACCTTGACTTGCTAATGCTGCTTGCTGAGTGTGCACGCTTTGGTTGGACCCAAAGGGCAACATTATGGCAGTTAGTGGGAGGGAATAAAACCCACAGCCACAGATGACAGAGCTCCATAATAAGCATTCTCCAGGAGAGCTGTGATTTAAACCTTATTGAAAGCATTAGCAAGCGGTTGGAAAAATCAAGACAGCACATACTGCAGTGGATTTCGTGACATTTCTATTGCAGAGTTGAGAACCAGGCACCAAAGGATTCAGTGTATCATAAACTGTAAACATGAAATACAGCAGGGGAGCCGCAGCCTCAAAACACAGAACAACCCTCCCGACGAGTATTCAGTCACACTTTCAGACTCACAGAAAATAAATCTTCTCTTCAGCTACGGCTTACGAATGCAAGGAGAGATCAGGAGTGCACACCAGGGCTATTCTGAGCCTCCCTGGTGGAAGTAGGTTAACACCTGCTTGCAGGCTGACATTTCCATGCCAGCACAGCCTGCCTTCCCCAGCACACAGCCGTGCGGGATGCTTAACCCACCCGCTGCAGAGGATGTGCACCTGCACCAAGGCCTGGGGATTCCTCCCTCTGCACTGTTCTGCGCACGCACACTCACTGCCTTTGCTCATTAATAGCAGTGGAAGCAATTTGCATGAATCAAGCTAAGTGTATTCACATCAGATCTCCCTTTGCTTAACTCTGCAGATCTTTCAACCGAGAAGGTGCAGGATTTTGGAGGAGACGTCCTTCACAGGATGTGCTTTTCAGTCTCCATTCAAGGCGATGGAGAAAAGATTAGACCTTTTACTCCTAAAGTTCCACTGAGTAGAGAGCAATAAATACAGGGTTTGAGAGTTTTTTTTCTTCCCCTAGATTGCAAAGAATTGATCTGCATACTGCTCCTGGAACACCTCTGTAAAAATGGGTTTGCTGCTTTTACTCCTCGTGGGAATATGCTCTGAACGTGTGATTCTTTCTGGCTGACCTATGGGGCTCTGTCACATGTATCACTCAATTCTACAAACGTATGTCTGCCCTTGGTAAAACCAGTCCTGCACCTCTGCCAGCTGTGTGCTATGAGTATGGAACGGTTAATGTATAGTATGTGCAGATATGGGCACATATTCATAGTCGCATTCATGAATGTTCACTTGTGCTAAACAAAACTGCTGGAGAAAATAGCAATAAATATGTAGTTGTGACATTACTGGCATGCCCATATTCCTCCCTAATTCCTTTCCTCCTCCTCTCTTACATGACAAAGACTTTCCAAATAACATTAACTGTTCTTCAGGTGTTACCTTGGCATTCTGAATATGATGTGGCCCTGCAAAGAGCACACAATCTCCTTCAAAGCAGACTCAGAGAGAAAGATCTGATAGATCCTAACATTCTTTTTTTCCATTCTTCTCTATCAATCTCAGTCCTTTTATTTCCATTCAGTATCTCAGAGAACACTCAAGAATTAAATTAATTAGCTTCTAGTAATGGGGGATTATCACTTTATCTGTGTAACAGAATTCTATCCATACAAATGAGATGCTGCTGCGACACTCCTTGAATAGCTGCACCAGAAC